TCAGTTGTCTAATAGCTTTATATATTTATTATTAATAAACGTCCTAGATGGCGCTGTTTCGAAAATTCATCGAAATTCAGACGAGCCTGTTTAATTTAGGAGTAAGGAATTGTTGTTAATTGCTTTTAAATTTAATTTGTTCAATTTCTTACATTGAAAAGTGTTGTTACATTATATGCTTGCCGGTAAAATGCCCATCTTTACTGACAACCGAGTCTCAGCGTCTTTTCTAGAACGTAGTATACATTACCTCAATAATTTTAAAGCGGAGGTCACAGCGTCGCGTCGGTGTATTGAGTGCGATTGAGAGTGAAAGTCACAAGATGGCGTCACAGGTCATTAAAATTAAAAGTGGTCGCACTATACTAGTTCTTTTATTGCGATGTTATTCATAATATTTTTATCTTATATAACCTTGTATAATAATATGCATATTTGAATCAAATATTCAAATATTTTATTATTGATTATAATATGTAAATTTTTTGTTAATTAGTTAATTTATACCTAGTTAAGTTCGGGTTGGACAAAATATCGTATTTTTTGACGTTCGAGAATTCATAATTCTTGTAATAATATAAGCTCGGAAATAATATTCGCCTATACACGAACTACTCAAATAATTTTTAATCGAATAAGTTTTTAAAATACTTTATATTAATCGAGATAAAAAAAATATTATTTATATACTCCCGGAAAAAAGTTTGACCTTCGAGTTCTTGTTTTTTAAAAGATAACTACATAATATTTTTCGCTAATATTTTTTAATAGAATAAGTGTGAAAACGAGCACATAGTCCACCTGATGGTAAGTGGATGCTGTGGCCCATAGTCGTCTACATTACATCTACATTTATCCTCGATTAAGAATCAGTCTTCGCATTTGCATTTTGATTCGGAATCGAGGATAGATGTAGATGTCTGTGGACTGTGTACTCGTTTGTTACCCCATCTAAAAAAAAAAAAACGCAGATGCATTGTCACCCCTGAGGACTAAGTGGAATGCCTCGATTCCAGTAAAACGGGTCTCCGGTTCTCTGCACTCACCATACAAATCACAGCAGCATTAAGCTGCTGTCCTACCTTATTCGAGTTACAACTATAATATAGCTGCAGCGTGGCTTTACCACGTATGAAATATGAAAGGCATGTTATTGAATTAGATTCTTAATCGGATACGTTTTTATTTAAATTCTTTATTTTCTGATATAGGCAAAAATGTTTCAAATCAATTAACTTTTTGTCCATCGAATGCCAATCAATGTATGGACGCAGCAGAGAAGGCTAAGTAGGAGCGCTAGCTAACCTAAGCATTTTAACGTAGGACATCTTCGCCTTATTGTGTTTTTTTTGCATGCCTGTACAAGCTTACTGAGTGATGAGACCTATTTGTAATACAATTTAAGACCTTATTATGCACTTAACCAAATAAATACTTGAAAACTTAAATAATATAATGCACACGTGGTCTAGTGGTTCGAATACTCGGTTGTAGCTAAATTATAGCTTCCTCATTAATGTGTGAATCGCACAGTGGTGGACCACCAATCATCCAAATGGTACGGGTGGTATTTTAAGTATTTTCGTGATGCGCTAGAATAGTAAATAAAACGAAATTTACGGATTTTATGGGGGCACGGCAGTGGCTACGCCAAGTCGAGCAAAAAAGCGGTTGTGCCGTACCATCCTTTTATCGAAGCAGTTGAACAATCCAATATAATAAAATAGGCATTCCTTGTGAAATACATTGTGTCTTCATGCGATGGCCCAAGTCAATCTATTTATTTAAAACATAAAAGATTTTGAATATTGATATGGTCACAATAAGATGTTGTTAGGTTAGCTAATGACATAATAACTTAAGACAGAAGGATCCTTAAGTTAAGGGACTGAATAAATTAACTGACTTGGTATTACATGGATCTCACAACTTTTTACGGTAGAAGAACTGAGTAGCGAGATTTGTTTTTTTTTACAAGTTATGTTTTTGATGGCACCCAGTTTAAGCTTAATGTTTTATTCCGACTTTTCGAGTTCTTAGGAGCTCCCACAATCACGAGTGAGGAAAACACGGTAATCAACAAGTTGTTATTAAATGAACCGTCTAAAAATTACTAAAAAGTTTAAAGCTTAATATTTTAGATACCTAATACTACCTTTACTTAAGTACGTAGATGACCCCAGCATCTATGTACATATAGCATATCACAAAAATCTATTGTGTATTCCAATAAAATTACACATATGCAAATATACAAACGTTTGAGGTAAACAGAGAATGGTTGTAAAAGAGATCAAACGGACTCGGTAAGTTTATTGATATATTTTGCAAGAGAATAAGATATGATGCAGTAATTATAATATAATTTTAATGACAACTCGCGATGTCTGTGGAAAATACCCCATGAAAGAGATAACAAAAAAAGCAAAATACTTACCGAATCACCAAATTCCCGGGCTTGGCGAATATTTGAGATACTCCACTAATGCGGCTTCAAAACTCCTTAATCAACCGAACAGAACAATAATATATGCGGTGTGGCGGGAAGACGTCTACATAGATATAGGTGGTAGAGCTGCAGCGATATTTTGATTGTAGCACGAACGGGTCGGCTCGACCGGGGAAGGACCACGCTCTCACAGAATACCAACGTAAAATAACAGCTTAATACTGCTGTGTTTCGTATGGTGAGATTCGGAGACCCTAAAAGCATTCCATCTAGTCCTCAACACTTAATACCTCGAACCAGTGGAAAAGCATTCCATCTTACCCATTAATACTGCTGTGTTTCGTATGGTTAGATTCGGAGACCCTTTTTTAGTGGAAACGAGGCATTCCATCTTAGTCCTCAGGGGTGACAACGCATTTGCGTTTTGATTCTTAATCGAGGATAAATGTCCATGGGCTACAGCATCCATTTACCATTAATTGGACTGTGTGCTCGGTTGTTACTTATTATATAAAAAAAGATTATCATATTATTTTATTGCGGGTCGCGTTAGTAATCCGAATCACCAGTTAACCCGAGAAACCAATACTTCGAGTGTCACACGTTCACAAAGCGATTCCACGTACGCTATTATTTTATAATTAGTTTTTTATTATAAACCCGAACAGAACCTTCCTTCTTTTGAAGTCGGTTATAAATTGAGTTAGTTTTATTAAATGTGTAAAATTCGCTCAAATATAACGAACCATTGTGTCATTTGAGAGGCTTACGTGCAGCAGTGGACTTGTGGAGGGTGTAATGATGATGGAGTCAGCCTTGGTGGTCTAGTAAACACGGTCGCTGCTCATCAGGTCCCGGGCTTGAATTCGAGCTATTGCGTTTTTCTCTCAGGAACTTCTCAGTAGCAGCCCGGTATCAGGAAGTTGACGATATTTTCACCCACGTGCCTCGGAAAGCACGTAAAGCCGTTGGTACTGCACCTAATCTCTCTTTGATCATGTCCCTTTGCCGTTCCACTAGACTATCAAAGTCAGGGAATAGAGAATGCACCTGTGTTTGGGTACTGTAATCATGTTCTGCGCAGATGGCCAGCCTTCTTTGAAACTAAAAATAATTCGGTCTGGGGAAAGACAATGATGTAAAAATGTGGACGTATATGGACGTTATTTTGTCATAATTATTAACTGCTTTTTGACTCCTAAATCATAGAGGTCATAGCGTATTTAACGAAGTTTACTTAATTAAATTGTTTTATCAAACGTCTAAATTTACTAAATTGAATTGATTCACAAAACCTAAAACAAATAACAATTGAACTAATTGGTATGTCAGCGTAATTAATTTATAAGTCTGTAAGGGATTTTGAGCTTTAACGGCCATTAGCTAGCCAATCGGTTGTTCCACATCACAATTAGAACGGGATAACTTTTTGCTTGATAAACTTCAAATGGTTACTTTTTTGTTAATACTTATAATTTAAAGCTAATATTTAAAACGCCACATTAATTAGAACAAAAAACTTTATAATGATTTCTTATATTCTACGTAAATACTACTATAAAATAAAACTATTTTAAAGCATTCTACGCCTTTAATCTGACCATGCTCATTAGTGTTGCAAAAGACTCGAAACGTCGTGAATTGAAAATAAGTAAATTTAAGCGTGATAAAATCCGTAAAAATAGTTTTATAGAAAGACCCAAACAATTTTTTACGTGTAATAATTTACGTGGTAAAGCCATGTTGGAGTTATATTAGTAGTATAGTTGTAGCACGAATGGGTCTCTCACAGAATACCAGCGTCAAATAGTAGCTTAATGCTGCTGTGTTTCGTATGGTGAGTGTACAGAACCTGAGACCCTTTTCACTGGAAATGAGGCATTCCATCTAAATCCTCACGGGTGACAACGCATCTGCATTTTGATTCGTAATCGAGAATAGATGTATGTCTATGGGCCACAGAAACCACTTACTTTCAGGTGGACTGTGTGCCCGTTTGTCACCCTATCCTATAAAAAAATTATTATTCACCAAATTGCCCACAGAGGAAGAGCCGTGAAAGAGACAAGTCTCTTAAAAAATTAAAGGTCTAAAAATTTCGGGATCTCTGCCACCGCTAATGAAAATAAAAAAAATCCGAGGATGTCCTCAAAATATGTCCACATATAGATTCCGCATAAACAGGGCCGACGAGATGCACCAAACTTTTATAAGAGTTATAAGAGAAGGTCAACATTAAAGATGAGAAGAACAATGCTGCACCTATGTTATGGTTGTATCACGAATGGGTCGGCTTGACTGAGAAAGAATCACGGTCTCACAGAATACCAGCGTAAAATAGCAACTCAATACTGCTGTTTCATATAGAGACTGTAGAGAACCGGACATCCTTTTTACTGGAAACGGGGTATTCCATCTTGATTTTTATAGATAGTGACGTCTGTAGGCTCTAACTTAACCTTACTTTTGTCTTCAGGACGCCGCAGTGTCACCAAGTGCCGCGGACCAGTATGTAGTGGACATCACACACGAAAAGCAAGAAATTTACAAA